TCATTTTACGACTTTTCTTGCCACCATTGTTAAGTGAATCACTTCAGTTGTTAAGTTAGTCACATGGTAAATCTGGCTTCCCCATTGACTTTGCTACTCAGGTTGCAAAAGGGGATCACATGATCCCGGGACACAACCATTATAAATCTGAGTCGGTTGCCACATGTTTGAATGTAAATGTCAGGGATGCCTCCCTTCAAACCCTAAGAAAGAAACCCCCCCGACTTCATTGATTTAGAGAAAAGGTATCGGTACTTTTACTAAGAACGAACTGATAGCAGCAAAAACAAGGCAAGATCTGAAACAAGCTGCCTGAAAGTTACACATTGAAAGTCACCCCAAGTCCCTCTCCCCGGGGTCCCAGCACCAAGAGACCAACCAACAACCAGTAAGATATTTTGGGAAAGCTCCTCTGCAGGTATTTCTCGCCTCTGGAGTCTCAGGATGGTTAGCCTTGACGAAGTATAAACAACTCCACTCAGCATGCGTGAGTGCAAACCTCTCTTCCAGTTCTCATGGGATGGCTCGCTCCCCCATCCCAAATGCTCAATGCCCCCTCCCTCTTTCTTTGGCAGCTGAGAGCGAGCATACATTAGGAAACTAGACATCCAGCTGACATTAAGTCACATGAGCATTAGGATGCTACAATGGTCATCAGCATGAAAAAGGTTAATTAAGTCACTTTTTTCAGTGCCACTGTAACTTCAAATGGTCCCAAAATGAACTGTTGTAAGTCGAGGACTAGCTGTATCAGAGTCAAGTATATGCAAGCCCTACCTTTCAAGGTCTGATTAAAGAATGGCTGATCATAGAGCCAACCACTAACTATACAGACATGGTATATTAAGCCATTCCATGGTTTTACAGTTCAGGTTATTGTATTCTAATCCTAGAAACTTCATCACTTTGGTGGCTGTGACTCACAATCGGTATCCTTTTTGGGGATGGGAGCTAATCTGTGGTTAGAATTTAGAATAACTTTCTTATCACTTTGAATGTACACCAATCAACATACATTAAAATGAAATGTTGTTGCATACAATAAAATGGTTTAGGGTGTTGTCCAGATTAGACTAAAGGATTAACTGTTTAAAGAGTCATTTGTCCTTTTTGAACGTAGCACAGAGTGCTGGCAAAGTTGAGCTGCTCATATATCAGCAACAGCATTGATAATTTTCTCTTTTCAATAATTATAATTGCATAGGAAACACCTTTTGATATCAGAGGAGATAAAAGAAAAGTTAGCTTTCATCCATCCTGCGCCTGTCATTTGACTGTTGTGCATAAACTAAAATTATCCCGAAAATTGCAGCAATTAAAACAGGGACAGATCATGATTTGTCACTGTTTTCAGCATTACCGTTCTTTACAGGTCTCAGGGAATTACTCACTCTGTCACACACTGAGAGCAGAGCACTCAGGCATCTAAATCTGTTGCACGAAATCCTTTAGGCATGGAAATAGTTTTCTTTCATTTGAGTTCCCTCAGGAGAAGGTCTTTATTTTTAAACCAAATGGCTTAAGGCATAGATTGCAGCAGCATATGAAACCTGCCTGAGCTTGTTCTGATAATACACTCTGCCAGGGTATAGTGATACACATCTTTTCCTTTTTCATCTTTTTCAGAAATATTTAGAACCATGCATAAAACACATTTGCTTAAAGAGAGCCAGTTTAGTTAAGGTGCTAGCATAGAAACCAGGGAATAGGGAGTTCTAGTCCTGACATGGCATGAAAGCCAGCTGGTGACTTTGGGCCAGTCCCTCTTTGTTAGCCCAGTTCAACTCACAGGATGGTGGATGTGGGGGGGAAAGAGGAGAAACTAGTATTAGTTATCTATCAAACTTGTATGCTACCCATCTCAACAAAGGCGTCTCTTTATTTGAGTAACTTATAAAGTAATAAAGGCAGGATAAAAATTTAATAAATAAATAAAAGGCATAGTGTTGCATATTTCCCATGAGGAGTCCGGTGAGGATGCTGTCAAGCCATGTCCTCATAAATCAATAGTTGACTTTGCATAAATCACAGCAATTGGCCATAAATTTATCGGCACCTTCCTCAGTCTTCTAGCTGTGGAAGAAATTCTTTCACTTTACTCCTGAGCTTCTTAATATGGGCTCTTTCTCTAGTTCTTTTATGAAATGATATGTCCAACCCCACCAAGGTATAAAAAAATAGGTTACTGCCTCACTACGAAATGACAACACATTATTAGATAGTTACATCACATCAAAGAAGAAATGGCATGATGAAGAAAGACAAGTCTTCTAGTCTCATTTGTGTAATTTTATTAATGAATGGTAAATAATGTTGAATGTGAAATTAGTACAAAGTAACACAATAATATTAGATAACAAATATTTTAATGCAACATTCCCTCTTATACCTGCCAGTTGCCACATGAATGTCTATTGAAGTTCTGGTCGATAGCCCTAGCAATAAATAACGTTGTGCTTTACGTACCTTCTTATACCTAATTTTATATTCTAAAGCCACATGAATTCATCTGTTTTGAGTGAAGCATTTTGATAGAAGCATTGCACAAAAATGGCATGTTTATCTGTAAGATTGCACTGAGTTGATTCATCTTTTGGCTTCTACAAGCATGACTCAAAACACGCACAACTGTCCTCTTTGTTTTTCTTGGCATTTTGTTTTTTGAAAGACAGCCTGTGTTCCGTTTCAGTAGCTGTGACAGAAACAATCCCTTGGTTACAGGAAAATAAGTCTAAAATGGCTGATAAAAATCCATGACATTCTCTGCCAATTTTTTCTTGTTATATTCCTTATTTTATTTCGTTTTTGTGCGCAAGCTTAACAGCACCCTGCAACTTTCCTTGGGTGAGGAAAAAAAAAAGAATATTGCACAGATTGCTTAGCATGAAATTAACAAGTTACTGAATATGAGAGGAATAATGTAGCCTCATGATAATAAAAAAATGTTTACAACGTGTTCTGGATCTAATTCCCATTTTATTTAATACAGGTACACATTGGAATTAAAGGATTCGTGAGAGATTCGGTCAGTGGTGCTGCCTTGGAAAATGCAACCATTGCTGTGGCTGGGATTGCTCACAACATTACGACCAGACAGTTTGGTGACTATTACAGACTGTTGGTGCCTGGGACCTATAATATCACAGCTTCTGTCCCAGGGTAAAGTATATGGAGCTGGCATCGACATGTTCATTCTCTTTGGTGTAGTTTCTTCTAGTAGCGAACTGCTTGATGGGAACATTACGAAGCTTTGTCTTATTTTGCCATATACTAAGCAGGCGTGTCATATAAAACAGGCACACAGAAAAGCAGGAAACGACAGTAGTTCCATGAGGATTAGGCCTACCTTCAATGTTTCTTTCTTAAGAATGTTTCCCTTTATTAAGGGGAATCGAGTGAAGGATTTGGAACAGCTGCACTGCCAGCCTGAGGTTTGCAATTAAGCAGCCATAAAAATGGGGCTTTGAGGTGGGACCCTTGATTTTGGTTCTTCAGTTGAGAAATAATAACGCTGCTATTTGGTCTTTATTTTTTTCACTAAGAAAATGGGAATGATATTCCAGATGAATAAATACAGGCTATCCTTGACTTATGACNGTTGTTAAGTGAATCTGGCTTCCCCCATTGAGTTTGCTTGTCAGGAGGTCACAAAAGGGGATCGTGTGGCCCCAGGATACTGCAACCGTCATAAATATGAGCCAGTTGCCAAGTGTCTCAATTTGGATTGTATGAAATGGGGATGCTGCTGCAGTGGTTGTTTGAAAACTGGTCATTAGTCCCTTTTTTCAGTGCTATTGTAACTTTGAACGGTCGCTAAATGAACTGTTGTACATCGAGGACTACCTATAGGGAGCACATGTTAAGCCAAAGCACTTGTAGTATGGCTTGTTTGGGCATATTGCAATTGGTTGAGGTTCCCTCTGGATGCGCAAAGTTAGAAGAATGCTATACATTCCACTTGAAGATGGATGGATGCAGCTGGTCTTATTCTGATTAATATGGGAGACAGGTTGTCCCACAAGTAACCAGGCCGTGTGGCATGTCGGCTTTAGGAGGAATAGCCAGCATTTTGAATTGTGCTCAGAAATAAACCATCAAACCAGCTTGTGAAGCAGAAGTGTTACATGGACATATTGAACCGTGCCTACACCTGCACTTAGGACCAATTGAAGCTTCTGGGGAGTCTTCAAGGGTAGTCCCGCAGAGAGAGGTCAAGCTGCGAACTGACAAGGAATGAATGATGGACTAAAGGTCTCTTTGATCTAGGAAACACTGAAACTGCCCCCCTCAACATCTGCCTAGGATGTACCGTAGTTAGATCCTGCAGGGTTGGCACACTTCCAATTCCTTCAATTAAATATTATCTATTGGAACTATGGAAATGTGCCTTCTGTAGTAGAACCTAAAAAATGACACACAAACACCCCAAAAACCCTAGATCCCCCCCCTCCCCAACACATACATATACTGCTGTTGCTTCCAACTCTGTTACTCTGTATTCTGCTGGTAAGAACCAGGTTATTCATCCAGGCCTTTCACAAGGAAGAATGAGACACAGGCTTCTGTTGCAATAATTTATGAAATACCCAACTGCTAGTAAAGGTTGTAAAAGATTGCATGTAGAAGAGCAGGTAACTTATATATTCCATGCTTATGAATTGTAAGGTTTCCTTGTGAAGAAAAGTAGATACGTTGAGGCATTTAAAACAGTAGTTGTGCTCTATTTGTGACAGATGTTTCCATGGCTAATTAGGTGCTTTTGGTGTTGCTGTTGATAGTGCAATAGCATTGTGTGTTTGTTAGTAGGATTCACTGAGTTAGGGATTTTTTTACTTTCACTGTGAGTTGTATTGGGTTGGGGGGTGCACAAAGGGAGGCTCAGCCAATCTCATTGTACACATGTACTCTGACAATAAAGGTTCGAATTAAATTGAACAAAGGATTGCATATACTACATGTTATGCCAGTAGTTAGCTTTGGTATAGCAGCTGAACAAGTATGTTCAATTAGTTAAAATTAGTTGTGATCCTGAAAATACATTCAGCATCACAAAAGAACATCTAAGATCTAACTGAAATAATGTTTAAAAATATCTGTACAGGATGTGTTTGGTAGTTGATTTCTTATGCAATAGACATTTCTTATGTCAACCTATATATTCCTGATTTCTTTTTTGCAATTCTGCAGTTGGTTTTATTGTCTTTATGCATTTGTGGGGGTGGGGGTGGGGGTGGGGGTGTCTTGACCATTTTCTATTAAAGTTTAAATAATATAATTGTTTTACATTTTGTAAGCTGCCTAGAAATGGTAGCTTTAATTTAGCCTATAAATTTGATTAAATTAAGAATGGATTGCATTAAGTATGACTTGTTGCCAAGTGTTTTGATTTAGGATTTAGAGACTCTTTATATTATTCTTTTAATTATGTTGGATTAAAGAAGCATACTTTTCTTATTCTAATTAAATGCTCTATATCTAACTATCCTGATTTCTTTTTCAATAACTTCATTTAAATTAGTGATAAACCAATTAAACAACCACATTTAAGTCTAATTATCAAAATAAAATTAGTTCATTGTTATCAATGGAAAAGAAATAGTATTTTGAAGCCATGAATTATGCCTGTTAATAGTTTTATATAAGGACTTCAGTAATTTTGTTATAAGTAAGATAGGTAAATGTCAGATCTAATGAGAAAAATAACTTTTTATCCTAATAAAGTTAATGATTTAATTTTAATAATTTAAAATTTAATAATTCAGTCAGCAGATTTTTACACTGGCCAAATGTCTTATTTAAATAAAACCATCTCTTTTTATCAGCAATCATTATCTTCTTTTTCTGTTATAGCCCCCATTTCTCTCTCTCTTTCATCATAGCGAACACACCCAAATAGTAGAATAAGATATGAACTAATTATATGTACAAGAATTGCTGGGTTTAATGTACCATACAAGGAAATAGAATGAGTAAATAGTTGTAAAACGTAAAATTATTACTCAGCTCAAACCAGGATATCCTTGAAGAAGCAGGAACCTTTTTTTGCATTTACAAATACATCTGTTAGGTAGAAAACTATGAATTGTCGATTAATTCTTTGAAATCATAACAGGAAAATGCATGTTTTTATATATAACAAGCATTGTGATGCCCTCCGGGTATTTTGAAATAAAAATCCCACAATCCCTCATCATTTATCATAAGGCTTCTGATGGGAAACTTTTTTAAAGTATACTGCTGTTATTCACAACATCTGACAATTAACAAGAACAATATTAAAATATCACAAACCTAAAACTCATAAAACATCAGTGTCACACCCCTGCTATATTTTATGGCAGTGGTAATAATAATTGAAACAAAAGTTATAGCTTCTGGATCTTTTTTTCTCTTTTGCTTTTTCCTTCTACTTCTTTTTCTTATGCAATGCTTTCTTAAATTGTAGTTCTTTTAAAAAAATGTATATCGCAGAGATCAGCTGTTCCCAACCATGTTTCCTGATTCCTGCTTTTTATATACTTCACAGCATTTATTGGCTAAACCTTCTTGCAATCTGTTTCTCTCTTCATTAAAATAATAATAATGTGACAAACTGGCACTCCTCACTTTTATAAGCAGATCTGTTAGTAGCTGTGAACTTCAAAACTTTTGTGTGTTTGCTTAAGAAAAAATCTTCCTTGGCACTGTGGTATTTACAGTACCTCTTTAAGTACTTTAGACAGTTTCTCATGTTACATGAAGCCTATCATCTACTTGGAAAATTCCCACTGTCCATCTTAGATATGAATTCTGAGAGCCTAAAAATTGAAAATTGAAACAATATAATGAAATCCCTACCATTCTAGACGTAAGACACAACACTAAAATACTCTGAGCACATTAAACCAGGCACACCTATATTAAGCTCATCTAGCATTCTGGCTTGGTGTCTGGATTTAGCCAGGTCTTTGGAACAACCATGACCTGGAGAACTGAGATTGTGTAGTTGCAAAGTTATCTCTTACTGTTATGATTGCAAAACATCGTGATTATTTCCATTATCTAGATTTTTTTCCTAATCATCAAAATCACAAAGTGTGGTGTTTTTTTTTAATTTCATGCAAAAAAATCTATAAAAGTTTTCCAGTCACAAATATATTGTCTTTTCTCTGATCAATGAAGTCAAGTTAGCCATCTGTGCAAATTCCATCATTTTCACCGTCCATTCCTACATTGTGGGTAGTATTGAACTTTTCCACTTTTGAGCATATAGTAATCCCACCACAGTTGTCCTCTGTAAAAACAGAAATCTGTGTCTGTTTTCTAGCTGTTTGACCATTATAAGTTTCAGCGTTGCTGGAACTGCAAATGGTTGCTAAATGAGGCAATCGCTAAATGAGAACTACCTGTATATATTTTTTCACATTGTATTTTAAATGTGCGAAGAACAAGGATTTGCTATATGACTTTGCATGGCAAGAGCAAATTTTGTATTTGTGCAGGGTGCCCCTTCATCTGTTTACCTTTCTGCCACCGAATTTGGCACTCCTGCTTTGAAATCTAGAAAAGTTATTTTGCTAACCTTAAGAGCTAATGTCATGTTAAATTAACTTTGGAACAGGGAACTTGTTTTTCAAGTTCTTAACTTTCTTTGGGACTTTGGATAGGTACATTTTTTGGGTAGGTACAGCTTAACCTACTAAATAGGAGTATAATAATGATAAAAATGGGGAGAGAGATACACTTTACTATTAATTTTTCAAAAGAAGAGTGTATGTATATGTTTGTCTGTCTATCTATCTCTTATCTATCTACCCACCTACCTACCTACAATCCCACCCTTCTTCGAGTGAAATGAAAATTATATCAATAAGGTATTTAAATACATTTAAATTATCAAATATTTCAATAATATGGTAGAATTGAAAGGTTAGTCCAATTCTAAGCATCATATTGATCTACTGAAGAATAAAAAGGGAAGATGTATAATAAAATGCCTCAGAAATAATGAAAAATCAGGACTCCTATATATTAACCTGTTAAGATTTTTTTTGTAAACATGACCACATATGACAAATAAGGAAGTTGCATGATCTCAAAATTCCAATTGTTATTTTT